AATGGAGTCACATCAGTTTCTCAGTACATATTCATATATGCACATAATATAACAATATAATTTAGCCACTATCATTTCCCAGAACCCCCCCTTCCTCCCTACCTCCCACCACTTGGTCCTTTCCTTTACTAATCTTCCATTAATTTTTTTAAAAAATACTTTTTTAGTTGCCAATGGATTTTTTACTTTGTTTATGTATATGAGGTGCTAAGGATCAAACCCAGGGCCTCACACATGCCAGGCAAGTGCTCTACCACTGAGCCACAACCCCAGTCCCTTCCATTGATTTTTAGGAGATCCATCCCTACCTTTCATTTCCTTTTTCCTCACTAGCTTCCACATGTGTAAGAAAACCTTCTGAGGGCTAGGGTTGTAGCTCAGAAATAGAGCACTCCCCTAGCACATGCGAAGCACTGGGTTTGATTCTCAGCACCACATAAAAATAAATAAAATAAAAGTATTGTGTCCAACTACAACTAAAAAAATATACTAAAAAAAAAACAAAACTTCTGAGTTTGACTTATTTCACTTAACATGATTGTAAGATCAGGCAAAGGCGGGCAGCGACCAAAGGAGGCAGATTTAAAAAGGCCACCAAAAGAGGCTTTATTTGAGATCACTCCTGGGCGGAACTTGATTAGACCTACAGAGTGGACAGGAGAAGGGTCTGAGGAGAAACGGCATGGGAGCTCTACCGGATTGGGATTTTATGGGGCTTAGGCAGGAAGGGAAGAGCTTGGGACAGGAAAAGGTCCCTTGTCCGGCTGGAGTTGGTCAGGGGAGCTGGCTGAACTCCAGGATTGGTCAGGGGGTCCTGACGATTGACAGGCTTTTGTCAGGAGATCCCGCTGACCGACAGGCATTTACTCGGCGCATGATTGAGGTCCTTTCCTGCATAGGCTGCTTTGTTCTAAGTCACCACCACGGACATGACAGTGATGATCTCTAGTTCCATCCATTTTCTGGCAAATGCCACAATTTCATTTTTCTTTTGGCTGAATAAAATTACATTGTGTATATATACCACATTTTCTTTATCCATTCATCCACTGATGGACACTTAGGCTGGTTCCGTAGTTTGTATGTATCACTGCAACATGCTGACTTTAATAATTCTTCAGGACAAATATCAAGGAGTGGTACAGCTGGGTGGTTCCATGCCTAGTCTTTTGAGGAATCTTCGTACTGATTTCCATAGTCTTGTTGGATTTACAATCCCACCAACAATGTAAAAGTGTTCCTTTTTCTTCACTTTCTCCAGCATTTATTATTATTTGTATTCTTGATGACTGCCATTCTGACGTGTGAGATAAAATCTACTTGTAGTTTTGATTTGCATTTCCCTAACTGCTAATGATGTTGTGCATTTTTTTCAACCATTTGTTGGCCATTTGTATTTCTTCTTTTGAGAAGTATGTGTTTAATTCATTGCCCATTTATTAATTGGGTTATTTGATTTTTTAGTATACAGTTTCTTTTTAAATTTTTTTTTAATTATTGATAGACCTTTATTTATACACAGTGCTGAGATTTGAACCCAGTGCCTCATACATGCCAGGCAAGTGTGCTACCGCTGAGCCAGAGCCCCAGCCCCTGGTGTACAGTCTTTTGAACTCTATATATTCTAGACATTAATCCTCTGTCAGAAGAATAGCTAACAAAGATTTTCTCTCATTCTATAGGCTCTCTCTTCATTTTTGTTTCCTTTGCTGTGTAGAAGTTTTCTAATTTGATGCTGTCCCATTTATTAACTCTTGGCATTATTTCCTGAGCTTTAGGGGTCCTATTAATAAAGTCTTGGGCTGGGGATGTGGCTCAAGCGGTAGCGCGCTGGCCTGGCATGCGTGCGGCCTGGGTTCGCTCCTCAGCACCACATACAAACAAAGATGTTGTGTCCGCCGATAACTAAAAAATAAATATTAAAAAGTTAAAAATAATAAAAAAAAAAATAAAGTCTTTGCCTGTATGTAAAAGCTGGAGTGTTGACCCTATTTTTTTCTTCCAGGATTTGCAGTCTCTGGTCTAATTCTGAGGTCTTTGATCCATTTTATTTTTGTGCTATTGTGAAATTTAAATGAAATATTGATGTAAAGTAATTATAGTGCCTAGCAGAGAGAGTCAGTTTTCAGCAAATGGTACAATTTACTGCATAAATGCTGGTCTTGCCCATAGGCAACATCTCCAGCACAAACCCATCCCCCTACTCTCTGTACTTCCAGAGTTTGGGTGAGTGAAGGTCACCTGCCCACTGGACTAGGCCCAAACTGACTGTACTTGAACCCACAAATCTCCAACAGGCCCTCCTATCTCCATGCCTTTCCCCTTTCCTATGAGCTCCCCAAAGACATCCCACTGCTTCCTGTCATCTCTCCATCATCATGTGTTCGTCATGCTGCCCAGGCAAGTATTTGTTGATGGACATTCTGAGGTTTGTAGAAGCCTGCTGTTGACGCTATTGGCTCAAACTAACACCTCAGTGAGCCATGTTTCCATAAATTGTTGGAAGAGAGGTGGGTTCTTTGTCCAGGCATCCGACTGGAGGTCATATAGAAGTAGGCCAGTGGGCAGGATTTGGCTAATACTTTCAGCTGACAGCAGGACTGCAGTCAAAGGAAAGCAGACCCAAGGCCATGAGCAGATATAGGAGAAACAAGAAATGTCCAAATGTGGCCAGAGATAGAGCTCATTTTTTTTTTTTTAGAAAAGTTAACTTTATCCTCTGATCCTTAAGTAACATTGTTATTATATATTCTGATGGAACTATGGCTCAAGTAGAGGAATCAACAGAGCCCAGAGATTGATATGTTTGCAGGGCCTCACATTTCTTCATCTTGAGGAAGAGAATGAGAAGTTCTACAATTAGTCATTTCTCTGGGGCAGAAAGGGTTGCTTTTGTGGCCCTGGGAATAGAAGGGCCTGTAGATACCCAGGGGCAAAGCGGGAGTGGGTAGCATTCCGGTTCTTGCCTCCGCTCCACATCCATTCTTTTTAACTGTGCTTTTGTGATACTGGGGACAGAGCTCTGCAGACACTTCCACTTTGCCAGCTGGCCCCTGCCAGTGTTTTCCAGAGGAAGCAGTTTATTCCACAGATGCAGGGGACTCCAGCTGCCATTTGCAACCTGCTCAGAGCCAGCTTCCTAACAGCCTCAGACACAACACCAGAGAAGCAACACCCATCCTCAGGCTCTTCCCCAACTGCCATCCCCTGATCTGTCTTCTTTCCTTCTTTCTCCCTGGGGATGGAACTCAGGGTTTCATGCATGCTAGGCAAGCACTCTCTTACTGAAAGATATACCCACAGTCCCTATTTCCTTGATTCCTGAATACTACTTTTTGCTTTTCTTTAGTTACTATACTATCAATTCTTTATGTCATATTATTAAAATAATTCGCATGGTTTCCATCTCTTATTTGGACCATAAACTGACATATATAAAAAACTTTTTTTAAAAAAATATTTATTTATGTATGTATCTTTAGTTTTAGGTGGATACATTAATTTGTTTTTATGTGGTGCCGAGGATCGAACCCAGAACCTCATGCATGCTAGGCGAGCACTCTACCACTGAGCCACAACCCCAGCACCTAAAAAACTTTTTTTATCTAGGACTAGTAATATTGCAGAGTGGTAGAAAGATTACCTAGCATGTGTGAGGCCCTGAGTTCAATCCCTAGTTTAGGAGAAAAAAAAAAAAAAAATCTCATCCACTAAAACTGTCTCAAGACTAGATTATTTTTAATTTCTCACTAAAAATACTGGATACTACAGGTTTGTTGTGGCTTTTTTCCCCCCCATTGGGGATTGAACCCAGGGGTATCTAGCACTGAGCTACATTCCCAGCCCTTTTTATGTATTTTGAGATAGGGTCTCACTAAGTTGTGAAGGCTAGCCTGAAACCTCAGATCCTCCTGCTTCAGTCTCCTGAGTCGCTGGGATTACAGGTATGCATCAATATGCCCACCTCTATATTTTGTCTCCCAAAGGCCCCCCACATTAAAGGCTTGGTCTCTAGCCCATGGCGCTACTGGGAGGTAGTAGAACTTTAGGAGGTGGGGAATTGTGGGAAGAAACTAGGTCATTAAGGGGCATGACCCTGAAGGGGTTATTGGGACCCTGCCCCTCCTCTTCCTTTCACTTCTGGGCCACCATGAGGTGAGAAGCTTGCCACACTACAAGGTGCTGTTTCACCACAGACCCATAAGCAATCTGAAACTTCCAAACCTGCAAGCCAAAGTAAACATTTTCTTTCTTTAAGTTTAACCTTAGATATTTGTTATAGTAAGAGAAAACTGACTAATAACTAAGGCTTGGAAGGCGTTTTTTCCCTTTGAATTTCCCATGGGTGCTGGTCATTAGCATGCCTCAAAAGTTAATCTTTAGATCAAACTACTTAATATAACTATTAATAAACTATTTAATATAAATAAATATTCCAAGCTGAGGTCTGGAGTGATTTCTTGCCTCAAAATCAAATTCTTTGAATTTCTTCTACTCCAGTATTCCTTGGAGAATTAACACCTATACTTGGATATTAAAAATGTAAATTGAGCCGGGTGCTGTGGCATACACCTGTAATCCCAGCTGGTCAGGAGGCTGAGGCAGGAGGATCCAGAATTCAAAGGCACTCTCAGCAATGGTGAGGTGCTCAGTAACTCAGTGAGACTGTCTCTAAAAAAATAAAATAAAATAAAAGGTACTGCCTATTTACAACTAAAAAAGTATTAAAAGAAAAGAAAAAAGAACTGGGGATGTAACTCAGGGTCCCTGGGTTTAGTTGCCAGTATTAAAAAAGGCAAACTGAGTTGCAGCAATGATTATAGTAATTAGAGAATATTTCATAATATTAAATCTACATCAATGTAATCAGCATCCTCTGACTATCCCACATATTTGGTTCAAGAATGCAGTTAAAATGGACACTCCCACACTGAAGGGCTGATGTAGCAGCAACAAACCACCAGAGTCCCTGCTTCCCTTGTATCAACGAGTCCACGAGCTGGTTCTTGCTGGTATTTCCATTTATTACCGCGGCAGACAACTGCTCTGAAAGTGCAACACCACATCCCCGGTCACAGCCGCTGCTCCTTCCTCACTGGCAAGTATTTGGAAGTTCACTCTTGGAGCTCTGTGGGCCATGAGCTTCTCTTTGGGTGGAAAATCATTGCCACTGCCAGTGTCACAGGGAAAACACACACACATGAACAGAAGGGTACAAAGAGAAGGGCACTGGAGAGGAGTAAGAGCCAATTTCAAAGAGAAGCCCCAGAAAAGGGGTTGGACAGAGCTGCCCCAACTGTGACTCCCTTTTCTCCAGTGGCAACCTAGCCTGCTGGTCATGTTAGCCCTGGCAGACCTTTATTCCCTCTAGAACAGGTGACGCCGTGACCAAAAACCATAACCGTGTCACATCTTGGCATATCAGAGGCCTGTGGAGTCAAAATAAATGGAGAGACCTCTCAAGCTAGTTTGGAAAAAAGGGTCATGTGGATAAACTGACTATTCAAGCCATCACTTATGCTGTTAGGCAGAATATCTGAGAGAACCCTGGGGCAAGATGCTGCCTAACAGGGATGAGCCTGTTCTAACCAACATAAGGTCAGCATATTTTTGATGGGAAAAAAATAACTGTCAAATACTACAATGACCAAAGGAAGGGGAAATATGAGCAGCTCTAGAAAACAAAGGAGATTAAAAAAAATCTTAAAACAAACAAAAAAAACCCCAACAACAACAACAACAAAAAAGAAAATGGCTAATCTATGGACAATATACCTAAGCACTAGGCCTCACAAACTCCCACTCATAAAACACACTGTCCACGTCCTCACACACCCACATGCACACAACAATCAAGTAGATGCCCAAAGGCAGGCAAATCCAAATGTCTGCTCTCTTTGGAATTTACATGGCAATCTGAGCTTAGGCAAAAGTGAAGACCTCCTGGGGTCTATTCAAATCTCCAGAGGCAGCCTTTGTTCCCCACTAGAGCCAATGTTGCTTCTGGCTTTGCTTGAGCCCTTCACAATTGTCTGTACAGCAGAATGCATTCTTCATATTCCTGGAGTTTCAATCACTATGAGATCTTCTTCTTGGATCTAACTTCATTTGTAATGGAAGCACCTCCCTCTTGGCCCTTGTACTCCTCTGTTTTCAGGAAGCATCCCCAGTGGTGATTTGAGGGGGTCAGGAGTTGGAAAGTGGGACGAGAGTAAGATAAATACAATAAGGGAATACCTGTTACTCTCATATAATTCCTAAGACCAAGTGGCAAGGATCCCTCAGGCTTCAAGGATACATTTTAAGGAGAGGCCTTAATTTAAGGTACTGTGATCTCTGCTCACAAGAGCCAAGTAAGACAGTGCTGCTCGGAGGCTGTGGGAAGACTCCTGCTCATTACTTACTTGAATCCTAGGTGTTCTTTTGACCTCTCTGGCTTCGGTCCTTCTGGGTCACATCACATACCTTCTCTGATGAGGGACTGGTTGTTTTAGAAGCATACCTGCAGTGGCCTTCGCCAGCTCTGTGTGGGCATCATGCGTTAGCACACGTCTGCTACATACATACCCAGTGATAAGGACTGAAAGGAGGGTTCTCCAACCACCACAGACAGGCACAGCCATGCAAAAAAAAAAAAAATCATTCACCCTTTCTCCAGGGTTGTAGAATATACACACTAAATGTTAATACCTGGCAATAGCCAGCTGTCACTTCCCTTCCTCAGTGAGGGGCATACAAGAACCCATAGAAGCAGGCTTGGCACACACACCCTGCTCATAGGGGAAAATGTTTCCATCACTGCCTTTAGCGCCAAATCCTGCGCTTGGGATCTACATTATCATCTAGTTCCCTCAAACTGGGTTCTGCTCAAGCTTACCAAGACATACTCTCTAAGCCATGCCAGTGGAACCAGCGTTCCCACCAGGTTATAATTCTAAGTGCAGCAGTGCCTAAGGAGGAGAGAGTCCCCATAGGAGGGAAACTGGAGAGCATAAGGCAGGAGAGAGGACACAAATTCCTGGGCAGTCATCACATCAATAACACATTTTCAGAGAGAGGTGGCCTGGGGGAGAGGATGAAACAAATGGTCCCAATAACTTGGTGGCAGAGCTGGTAGAGGCATTCGGTTACTCTGGAACTCTGCAGAAGCTGTTCCTCGATGCACAGGTATTCATAATACTGATAATGCTCATCCACAGCTCCGGCCTGTCCACGTGGTTACAGAGCCCTTTGCACAGCAGGAGAGGAGCGCAACAGAGGGCCTGGAAGGCGTCTGGACAGCACACAGCAAAATAAAAGGCTGCACTCCCCCCTCCCAGAAGCCCCTAAAAACAATGTCTATTACAAAGTCACGTTTTCCATTTCTCCGCTTTATAAAGTCAGCAATGCTGGAGGGTGTCTAGCGGAATCCGTCCTCCAGGAATGAGTGCAAAAGGGGAGCACATGGCTCACTGACGTCCCTTCAGCGGGTAGACGGAAGGACTGGCAGAGGCCTTCCATCCATTTCGGACAAACACACACAAACAGAAAAGGATTATTGCCAGCTTGTGTACTTTCACAATGTGATTTTTGTATTTCGAAAGCTTGAATTGTCCCTGAAAGAGAAAATGGGAGAAAACACAGCATTCAATACATGGACTGTCTAGACACAACCACACACAAACGGGGAGGACTCAACTCAAGCTCTTGGACTCTCCACACCCCAGGGCTTTCCTTCCTTGCCAGTCTAATGCCAAACAGTGACCTGCCTCCAAGTCCCTGCAAAAATTTCTACTCAGTTGTTTGCAATAGTAATAGATAAGAAACCATTCTAATGCAGATGAAAAGGCGGCTGGTAAATATCAATGTCATGGAACCCTGTACAATGCGACCCTATGCAGCTAGGAAAAAAAAAAAAGTTTTCTCCTAATATGGAAAGATTCCAAAGATCCACTGATCCTAGAACAGTGTGTGTACATAGTAACCACGTTCATGTGAGTGGGTGGGGAATAAGGTTACACACATAATTGCTTGCTTAGACACTAAGAAACTCTTACAGGTTCCATAAGAATCCAGCAACAGCAGTTACTTAGGGCAGGGGACAGAAAGGGCACAGTAGAAATGGGGCAGATGAAGTAAAGTAAAGCACACAAGGGAGACACACTAAACCAAACTGTGCATATGATAAACAAAACCAATCCAGCCATATGATAAACCAACCCAGCCATCTTCAGTTTAAAACACAAAAGGAGGCTGCTCCAAGAGGCGCCCTCTAGGCACCTTGGAAACAGCTCTAATTTCCCAAGAAGTGTGAGGAGGGGGCAGATCTCAACACATGCACTCTTAGCAGCCTTTCACTGGACTCAGGCAGGTGTGGCCATTCATTAGTAAACTTTCCTGTCCTCACTAGAAATCCAATGACATCTTAGAAGGTCACAGCACCACCCCAATCTCAAAATTTCAGGGATTTTAAAGGCCACCTAGCTACTGCCCCAGCCTAGTGCTTCAGGTTCAAATTTGCCAGGAATTCTCATTATTCTAGTTTCTGAAGTTGCTATTTTCCATTTAATTTTAAATTTGTAGAAATTCTGGCTATTAACCAGACTTGTGATATTGGTCCAAAGTAAATAAATATTTAGAAAATATGCTAAGCCCAGACAAATGGCAGTTTTCACCTGCCCCTGGCTGATGGCAAAAGGACAAGAAGAACCAAGAGCCCTACTCCAAAGAGAATGACTAGTTAAGTAAAGGAGGGGTGTGTGTGGGGAGGTCGGGGGATGGGGTGGGATGGGCTCAAGCTGGCAGAAATTGGTGTTTCTGCCAAAGTCCACAGGTTGTTTTTTTTTTTATAACTGACACGTATGACCATGTGATTCATTAGTCCATGGTTGCTGAGCATTTCAACTACTTTTGCTGAGGAAACCAAAGGTTGAATGTAAGGTTAATGGGTGGCCATATTTTTAAAAGACCAGTGTTATAAAAAAACTTTCTAAAGGTGGGCTGTGGTTGTGGCTCAGTGTTAGAGCATTTGCCTAACATGTGTGAGGCAATGGGTTCAATCCTCAGCACCGCATGTAAATAAATATAAAATAAAAGTCCATCAACAACTAATAAAAATATTAAAAAAACTTTCAAAAGGATAGATCTCTTTGAGGTAACAAAAATAGCTAATACAGAATGACAAGGAATCTATTTGATCATACCACAGTGAAAAGCAGGCACATTCGCTGGCTGTGCATATCTCAAGGTATGATGTGCCATATCACCAAGCCTGCATTTCAGAGGACTGTTCATCCTACATACACGGAATGTTAAAGAAAGCAATTTTGTGAGAAGTTGTTCTATTCTACTTCTTTCCCTGTATGACCCCTCTATGTTCAAGAGCCACCGGATAGCACTGGTCTATCAGGACAGACTCCACTTTTTTTTTTTGGAACTGGGGATTGAATCCAGGGGCACTCTACCACATCCCTAGTCCTTTTCTTTTTTTATATTGAGACAGGGTTTCCCAGGTTTGACTCAAACTTGCTATTTTCCTGTCTCAGTTCCCCAGTTGCTGGGATTACAAGCGTGCAGCACCAGGCCCAGTGGGACACCACTCTTCTTGTTAGAAGAGTGAACAGACAGGTAGGGCTGTGGAAAGACAAAGTCTGAGGATTTTCTGACTGAAACTGTCTATCTTGGAGTAAGGGAGATGGCAGGTGGGGATCCAGCTGTCCACCTGTTCAGTGGTGTGAAGAAGAGGATTTTCAAGCTAATTATTGCCATAAGCTGCTCAGTTAATCTTCCGGAAAGAAATTTTGTACTGAAATAAAGTCTTCTTTCGTAGCAGACAAACTGAAGAGTTCTATCACTTTCCATTCAAATATTTAATACTTAGTTTAATTCTTTCTCTTATTAGAAGCCTGTTTATAGTTAGAAAACCTTCTAAGTCCTATTGTGTAAGATCCACTTGCAAAATGGAAATAGGGAGAACAGTAAACGAACCAGAAAGAATCCAGCTGAGTTTTCCCAGAGTCTGATTTAATAGAAAAAAGTAATGAGGGCAAGTGGCCTTGTGTTGGTGACAGCAAGGGCCTGTGGCTATGGTCCAACCTTTCTATAAAAGGGTGGGTTCAGAAAAGCTGGGTGCCAAATTTAATCAAAGAAATGTGTTCACCTCAAACCAGCTGGGGACAAATATTCAACTGAGACTTTCCTCCAGGTTGCAGTATAGAGATTAGGTGACAGGGAAAGGGAAAATGTAGATAAGAAGTGGCAGAGGTCACAGGCAATGTTTTTTTTCTCTTTATGTACTTTTGTTCTTTTAAAAAAGCAAATTAGAAATTCAAAAATCTACCATGAATTCCCCAAAGCTAGCCCCTTTGGTCCCTTGGCCCCCTGGCCCTCTGGTCATGCAGTGATGGTGCAAGGGCTATGCTTTGGTACCAAACAGGACTCAAAGAATTCCCAGTCCCACAGCTTCTAAATTCACATTCCCAGAGGAAAAACTGTTAGCCAAATACTCAACTAGCTTCCTGATCCATTTTGCCTCAAAATAGTATTTCTAGAGAAAGAGAAAAGTCAGCTCTGGAATAATGAGCGAAAGCAGGAGTTAACTCCTAAAGGTAGGTGAGAGGGAGCAAGACTCTCAGCCAGAGAATGCCTCCCCTCTTGGAGTTACCTGTCACTGTGCTGGCACCCAGCAGGAACACTGAAGTAACTCCGGGTCCTCAGGTGAAAGCTGGGCATCATCCAAGCAGGAATCCTATCTGAGTCTCTGCCCTGAAGGGTGGCTTGGAAGGGGCGCTCACGATCAACCTACTGACTGACATGCACATTATCTTCAGGAAAACGTTCCCTGGCTATCAGCAATCTACCCCAGTAGACAGTCCTGGCTCTCTCTCCTCTCCTTGCATACTCTATAAAACTGCAAACTCCTAGGTTCAGTGGGGATGAATTTCCATCTCATCTCCATGAGCAACCATGCCACTGTACCTCCCAACAATAGAGACCTCTGTTCTATGCAAGCCAGCCAGCTGTCTAGGTAACAGGATCCTATCCCAGGGGCTAGTTGGGATTTCTACTGAAGCCATGGTGAAAGAAGTGTACTTTTTGTAACAGAATTCAAATAAAATGGTCCTAAAATACTAGCAGTTATAGATAATGACATAAAATAGCTGATAAGGTGAGGACAAACATTTGAGGTTTAAGAATTATTTAAAGAGCAGTTGTTCTGCCAATTTTTTCACAGATCATGATCTTTTTGTAAATGGGGGGAAAAGGATGCGTAAGAGATGGCCTAAGTAGTGTGGGCTCTAACGTGGCAGATCAAACAACCAGAGCAGGGCATCCAAATCTTAGCACACCTTATGCTGAAAGCAAGGCTTAGGCAGTAGAGATGAAATATGAATTCCTCTAAAGACTGCTAAGGCAATGAAGTGAGTTGATTCTTTTGGTTCAAATTCGAACACTCTTCACTGACTCCCAAGACTGTGCTTCAAAGAGAACACCTAAACCATCAAGTGTACGAAAAGATAGGGAAGCCACAAAAAGAACAGGACTATACAAAAGCAATTATGCAAGTATATGGCTTTTCAAAGCAATTCAAAGATATATTTCTTGGGGGATTTAAGGTCTGCTAAAGGGAGAGAGGCTCATTTTAAGTTGTTTTTCATTCTGACTACCCAATTTAAATACTTTTTTAAAACTAAGATGGATAATTTTTTTTGGGGGGGGGCTAAATTGCTTAAGGTCTCAATAAGTTGCTAAGGCTGGTTCTGAATTTGTGATCCTCCTGCCTCAGCTTCCCAAGCTGCTAGGATTATAGAATTATAGGCATTTACCACTGTGCCCAGCTCGGTGGACCAATCTCTAAAAAGAACAATTATTTGATGTACTTTAAGAAGTAAACCCTTCCAACTGAAACCTTTCCTCACATTCACTGTGAGCACTCTTAAGTAACTTATCCACTATTAGAACTGACATGATGAAATGAAACTGATATTTCATTCCTTCTTTTGTATACTGGCAGCCATCTTGAAATTCTATATCGACAACATTTTGGAGAAAAGTTTTAAAACTGGAGTTTAAAAAACCAGGTGTTGTCATTTAAAACTTGAATTTATAATAATGAAATCAAACTATTTAAATGGGGCACCATCAGTGTGTACAGGAACCCTGCAACTGCTAGATCATAATGGTACCCACATCCTTGGCTACTTGCTTCTCTGACCCACAACATCATCTGTCTTCCAGTTCCTCTGAGGAAGGAAGATCTCCTCTTCTGGAAAAAACCTCATTTCCTTCCTGGGAAGGTGGGCTTCGAAGCAGCTATTGCAGTTAATGTGTTCTAACTTCAGAAATACCTTGTTTCTCAGGGATGGGAGTGGTAGAAGTAGCTTGATGTCCAGAAGCAGACTCTCATCTCTGGCATAAGCAAATGCTGGCCTTCCATCCATTCCCCCAATACTGAAAATATACCAAATCCTTCCGCTGCAGGGCCAGACACATTTATTTATTTGTGGTACTGGAGATTAAACCCAGGGATGTTCTATCACTGAGCTCTATTCCCAGTCCTTTTCATTATTTATTTATTTGGTTCTGGAGATTGAACCCAGGGGTGCTCTACCACTGA